CTCATCGGGAAGGAAATTCTTTTTTCGCTGAGCCAACGTGACTCCTCCTTGACAATTTTATTTTATAGCCGTCATTGAACAATTGATCCAATTTTGGATTTACAACTACCAATGTTCAACTACGTAGCCTTGAAATTTTGAACCCCAAACCAGAAGACAAGGGATCAAGTATTGCGCGATATTTGCCTTCATGGCGGACTTTTTTTGATGGAACTAGCCCGCATTTGCGTTACATAAAGAGGAAAACCTCCCACGGTCAACCTGATGGCAAAGGGACTCTAACCCATGATCCATTTGCCACTGAGTATATTTTACGCCAGCAGTCTGGTCCGTGCTAGCTGGGTGTGGAATTCGAATCGACTAGCCATCGCCGGGATTCGAACCCAGTGCTCCTCAATGGAAGGCGAGGGCTCTATTCCCTGAACTATCCCGGCATTAGAACTATTGCCTATAAACATACCAATTTTGCAATTTCATTTTAATTTTCTTACTAGAAACTTATTGAAACACGCCAAGAATAACTGGAACTGTGAGTGACAATTAAGTATTAAACTATACTTTGCAGGAACTCAAAGTTGGTATAATTTGGAAAAGTCAACATGAGAGAAAAAGAAATCACATCTTAGGTTCCCTATCAGTCACTTAGCAAAGCAAAAATGTTCAATGCCCTTCAAAAAAAAAAGCATTTAAATTCTTTTTCGCTAATTGTTTACTAGTTTTGATAAAAAAATTTTAAACTGTTAAGCGTTATTAACTAATTATCCCACATAAACGTTACTAATCAATTTCGTGGAAAACTGTTCTTTACTATAAGGCTATAAACTTATAACAAAAAAGAGCACACGAGTTTGTTCTTCAAAAAAAAAATATAAAAGTGTTCAAATTCAGAAATAGATCTTAAATGGTTTCGAAAAGGAAAAAAAATACCGTATTCAAAAAGACTTACAAAAATTGAAATATTGGGGACGTTCCCGCTTTTTTATATTTTCTTTTTAGGCCACATTGAGAAAATAAACAAATTTTAGTTTGAACTTTAAATAAAGTGAATAAAAATTGCAATTTCTAACTCTTTTCAAAATATTATGGTTCAAGAAAATATTAAACTAGTTTAAATAATAATAAGATGACCGCAATATAGTCTGTTCAATGTATGCCAAAGTCATAAACTCTTCAAATAAGATAGAATGTATTAATTTTTTGAATAATTCCTTCCTTGATAATGTTTGACATCATCTTTTTTCAGACATGAGCTGTTAGGATAAAATTAGTACAGAAGTAACTAAAAAATTATCAAAAAGAAAAACTTTAAAAAAAAACACCGAACAAAAAATTAGTCACCCTATGAAAAACATCATTAATAGCAAGTAACACTGCCTTTGGATTCGAGAACATCCTGGAATCGGTTAGGAAGTGAGTCCACAAGGTTTTGGAGGTAGGTCGAATCCTGTTTGAGCCACACGTTGAGGATTTAATCACTCAAATCCATTAAATTCCGAGGATGCTGTTTTCTGCGTTTTACACGTTATTCCAACATGTCCCACAAATTTTCAATGGAGTTGAAGTCAGGTAATTTTGCTGGCCAGTCGAGATGTAATTGAGTGTCTGAGTGTTCATAAAACCAGTCATGTACTCTTTCAGCCCGATGAACTTTGCTGTTGTCATCTCGAAAAATAGGGCTATCGACAACACACTCTTCATAAAATGTTGACTGAAAGGCAATATCTAATCATCCAGACTATTAAAATAAACATGTTGGTTCATGTTAGTGGCCACCTGAGTGAGGGGGCCCAATCCATAGTAAGAAAAACGCCCCCAAAACATGACAGACCCATCTTCGGCTTGAACCTGACCTAACACACAGTCAGGATGAAATGTTTCATCTGCTCTTCGTTGCACTCGACGACGTGTGTCTTGTGAATAAAGGCAAAAACATGATTCATCAGACCATATTACATTCCACCAGGAAGCAACTGTCCACGTTCGGTGACTTCTAGCCCACTGAAGTCGCGCTGCTTTATGTGCCAATGTGAGCAATGGCCTCTTATGAGATGTTCGACTCCAAATGTTCATTTCATGCAGTTCTAGTTGCAATGTTCTCTCCCTAACAGGTTGGGATGGACCTTCATTTACTAACTGAAACAATTCCTGTCAGGTTTGGAAGCGAAGTCGGGAAGCACCTCTCCGGCCCCTTTCATGCAGGATCTTTTTCCGACCACAATTCTGACGTCGTCCTTCGTGACCACGTGTATTACACCACTGCTTGTAGACACGCTGAACAGTCAGCATCGAAACACCAAAAAATCCAGCAACTTCATTCACCGTATGACCATTGGCATGGCCAAACACAATTGCCACTTTTTGCCACTCGATCACATCCTTACACTTGTCCATATTTACACACAATTTCCGCTTGAAACAAAAATATCTCACTGATAGCTACTTGTCATTGATCACGTTGAAGCAGTGTGCGCGCAATGGAGCACGTCACTTGACCACTGCATCATAAAACGAAATCTGATGATACATTGGAGCTTGCGAACTAGGGTAACTAATTTTTGGTCCGGTGAGCTTATAAACACAAATAAAACTTGTTAACTCTAATATTTTTTACGTTAAAACTTTTTACTAGGTATTTTGCATTGTTAGTGTCATATCCATCCATTAAGATTCAACTCTCTTCATTTACAATGAACTGAAATTTATTATGAATTTCTAATTTTATAGGTTTTTGAAAATTCTGAACAAAATGCGAGTCATCTTACCAAATTCCTATCATGAAACATCTTTAGAAATAAAAAAGAAATATTTCGATTTATATGGAGACGTACAAATAAAAAAAAGTTTTTTTTTTTTAATTTTGGACACCCCCCAATCTCTTTGACTTAAAAAAGCAAGCAAATTTTATCCTACGATTACGTAAAAATGTGAAACGCATCACCTGGATTTAATTTTGACTTTTCCTGAAGTAATCTAATTTTGGGCTTAAATAAATAATGCAACTTTGCTAAAAATATTAGGTAGGGTATTTCAATTAATTTTATAAAAGTTTGAGAAGAGTATTCTGTAGTAATATTTGCTGATTTTTCTGAAATGGTTACATGAAAGCAATTTTTGTCCAACTTTTTCCTTATTCTTACTTTTGTTTTAAATATGAAGTTATTTCAATTGTAATTTTTTTCCCAATCATTGTTTTTATTTTATTTTTAAAAAAAAATTACGATGATCTGATTTAAATGCATAAAGTGGGCGTTGCTCGTATCCCGCATGCTACTTGTCAGAAAAAATAAGTAAATCACAAATCTGCAGCCCTCTTATGTCCTTAAGTTTGTAAGGTCCCTATAGTGTTGCATAAATATTTATATATTTTTAACCAATATGTCGCTTTTTTTCAGGTTTTGAACACTATGGTACACAAGTCCAACCAAATTCGACATCTCAGTTTTTTGAAGGTAAGTCATACAAAATCAGAATTTAATAATCTTCGTGCTCTTATTAACCAGCATTTATATAAGTTTTCAAAGAAATAAAAAGAATACGCAATATAAATAAAGATATGGATTAATATTAAACATAATTTCGTATACTAAATAGAAATTGCATTCAAGACTTGCAAAATATTCGACAGGAAGACAACATATATTTGTCAATATTTAAACAACAAAAAAAAACGGTAGTTTTCGTTCAGAAAATGTTTGAGGTTTTCTAATCATGTTAAAGCCTTTTTTTTAAAAAAAAAATAGGGAATTTCATTGTGAGAAAAAATCCACGATATAAGTAAATAAAAATAATTTTTGTGATGCAAGCATTTTCAATCTTGACGTAGACTTACGAAAAAAAGGTAACGCGTTTTAAATCAATTATAAGTAGCAATGTTTAACTGTGACGTCCTGAAAGAGAATAGTGTTTTCTAGTTGTGATAATAAAATAAAACCATTTCGAGATTGATCCCCTGTAGTATTAAATAATTTGAAGTTATATTGTAATGTGTCGAAAAAGAATGATACCTTATCCAATTAAAATAAAGCATTTTCTAAATAAATTGCAGTGCTGCGAAGAATTAAATTTATTGAGCGCTGTGTAACCCTTGCCCATTCTAACATAGTGCTAAAATGCCGAGAAAAAATAAAATATCGTAAAATGAACTAAATGTTTCTGTTTTGCTTATAAATAGGTAAATAGAATTCTTTTTGTCGTATCTTCGAATGTGGTTAAATTTTGAGTGAAAAATGATTAAATTAATGAATTTTAGATGCATTTGTCTTATTGAAGCTTCCGAATCATAAGTGATGCGGAATCAAAATGAAAAGTGAAACATCAAATAAAATAAAACGTAAAATAAAAATTGCGTACAGTAAATGCATGGAACTTTAAGTAAAGCAAAGATGTAAGGTGGAAAAAGAAAAATATTTAATGAAGTAAAAAGAGTGAAAAGTAATTAGGAAAGCTTAATATGAAGTTAAAACTTAATATATTAAGTAGAAATTATAGCAGAGAATAAAGAATAGTAAAATGTGATGCGTCTGGAATAGTTAAAGCGTAATATATGAAGTATAAGGTAAAGTGTTACGTAAAGAGTGAGATATAAAGTGAAGCAAAAAATAAATTTTAAAAAAATCAAGCGTAAATAAATTATAGCGTAAAATATGAAAGTAAAGCTTAAAGTAAAAAAGGGATGGTAAAAATCTGAAAGAATAAGAAGTGAAGTATAGAAAAAAAAAGTATAGTGTAAAATATAAAGAAACTCGCAAAACAAATAAAGTGTAAACTCAAATAAAGCGAGTAATATATAGTATAAGTGTAAAATAAAGCGTTAAATATATAATGAAATAAAGAATAATATAAAGCAGAAGATATTTTGACTGGTCTAGTCTAGTTTTGACTAAAAGTGATGTAAGACCAAGATAAAACTAAGTTTTAAATAACGTGTAAAATATAAAGTTTAAAGTAAAGAGTAAAATATAAAGAGAAAAGTAAAGTAAAAAACAGTGGAAGATTAAATAAAATGCGAAGTATAAATTTCAAACTTTCTTCTTCAAACTTCTTTTTTAAATTTGAAGTTATTTCAATAGATATTTTTTAAGAAAAATTTAAAAAATGTGATTTAAATGTCTTACGTAGGCGTGATTCATATACCGCCTTCCACTTGTCTGATAAAATTAGTAAATCACAAAACCTTATGTCCTTACAAAATGCTTAAAGATTCCTATAATGTTGCATACGTATTTCTGTCATAATAATCAATATTTGATATTTTTCAGTCATTGAAAACTTCACGAAATAAATACAAATTCAACCAAGATTCGTCATCTTAGCTTTTTGAAGGTAAGCAATATAAAGCAAGAGCTTAATAATTTTTGCGTTCATTTTAGCACACATTTATATAAATTTTAAAGAAAACAAAAGAAATCCGCAATATGAATAAAGTAGCAAACATAATTCTGTATGGATTGTAAAAAAATCGCATTTAAGTATGAAAGCAATGCGTAAAATACAATAAAATTTAAAATTGAACGTAACTTTTTTAAGCAGGGGGAAAATAAATGCTCGTAAAAAGGCGAAAAAATAACGCGAGAGAAAAATGAAATATAAAGTAGTTAATTAAGTAAAAAAACAAATTTAGCTCGTAGAATTAATACATAAAAAAGTTAACGGGAAAAATAAACGCTTAAGAAAGGAGAAGCTTAAATATAGGGCATAAAGAAAAGAAAAAATTGTAAAATGTACGGTAAGAGGCAACGAAATAAATAAAAGCAATGCGTAAAATTAATAAGAAAAAGAAACAAAAGTAATGCATAAAGAAAAAAAAAAGTTAATTTAGTAAAAAAGGAAACGTAGAAAAAAGTAAATCAGGCGCATAGAAGTAAGCCATGTATAAGAAAAAGAACGCTTTATGTATAAAAGCAATGCGCAAAATACAATAAAATTTAAAATTGAACGTAACTTTTTTAAGCAGGGGAAAAATAAATGCTCGAAAAAAAGCGAAAAAATAACGCGAGAGAAAAATAAAATATAAAGTAGATTGTGTTAATTAAGTAAAAAAAAAACAAATTTAGCGCGTAGAATTAATACATAAAAAAGTTAACGTGAAAAATAAACGCTTAAGAAGAGGAGAAGCGTAAATATAGGGCAAAAAGAAAAAAAAATTTTAAAATGTACGGTAAAGGATAGCGAAATAAGTAAAAGCAATGCGTAAAAGTAATAATAAGAAAAGGAAACAAATGTAATGCATAAAGAAAAAAACAAAATAAGTTAATTTAGTAAAAAAGTAAACGTAGAAAAGATTAAATTAGGCGCATAGAAGTAAGCCATGTATAAGAAAAAGAACGCTTTATGTATAAAAGCAATGCGCAGAATACAATAATATATTAATTTAAAATTGAACGTAACTTTTTTAAGCAGGGGAAAAATAAGTGCTCGAAAAAAGGCGAAAAAATAACGCGAGAGAAAAATAAAATATAAAGTAGATTGTGTTAATTAAGTAAAAAAACAAATTTAGCGCGTAGAATTAATACATAAAAAAGTTAACTAGAAAAATAAACGCTTAAGAAGAGGAGAAGGGTAAATATAGGGCAAAAAGAAAAAAAATTGTAAAATGTGCGGTAAATGATAGCGAAATAAAAGCAATGCGTAAAAGTAATAATAAGAAAAAGAAACAAATGTAATGCATGAAGAAAAAAACAAAATAGGTTAATTTAGTAATAAAGTAGACGTAGAAAAAAGTAAATTAGGCGCATAGAAGTAAGCCATGTATAAGAAAAAGAACGCTTTAAGTATAAAAGCAATGCGCAAAATACAATAAAATTTAAAATTTGAACGTAACTTTTTTCAGCAGGGAAAAAATAACGCAAAAGAAAAATAAAATATAAAGTAGATTGTGTTAATTAAGTTTTAAAAAAAAAAAATTTAGCGTGTAAAATTAATACATAAAAAAGTTAACGTGAAAAATAAACGCTTAAGAAGAGAAGCGTAAATATAGAGTATAAAGAAAAAAAAATTGTAAAATGTGCGGTAAACGATAGCGAAATAAATAAAAGCAATGCGTAAAATTAATGATAAGGAAAAGAAACAAAAGTAATGCATAAAGAAAAAAACGTAAAATAAGTTAATTTAGTAATAAAGTAAACGTAGAAAAGAGTAAATTAGGCGCATAGAAGTAAGCCATGTATAAGAAAAAGAACGCTTTAAGTATAAAAGCAATGCGCAAAATACAATAAAATTTAAAATTGAACGTAACTTTTTTAAGCAGGGGAAAAATAAATGCTCGAAGAAAGGCGAAAAAATAACGCGAGAGAAAAATAAAATATAAAGTAGATTGTGTTAATTAAGTAAAAAAACAAATTTAGCGCGTAGAATTAATACATAAAAAAGTTAACGTGAAAAATAAACGCTTAAGAAGAGGAGAAGCGTAAATATAGGGCAAAAAGAAAAAAAAATTGTAAAATTTACGGTAAAGGATAGCGAAATAAATAAAAGCAATGCGTAAAATTAATAATAAGAAAAAGAAACAAAAGTAATGCATAAAGAAAAAAACAAATTAAGTTAATTTAGTAGCAAAGTAAACGTAGAAAAGAGTAAATTAAGCGCATAGAAAACAAAAGAAATCCGCAATATGAATAAAGTAGCAAACATAATTCTGTATGGATTGTAAAAAAATCGCATTTAAGTATGAAAGCAATGCGTAAAATACAATAAAATTTAAAATTGAACGTAACTTTTTTAAGCAGGGGGAAAATCTGGCCATGTATAAGTAAGCCATGTATAAGAAAAAGAACGCTTTATGTATAAAAGCAATGCGCAAAATACAATAAAATTTAAAATTTGAACGTAACTTTTTTCAGCAGGGAAAAAATAACGCAAAAGAAAAATAAAATATAAAGTTGATAGTGTTAATTAAGTTTAAAAAAAAAAAAAATTATCGTGTAAAATTAATACATAAAAAAGTTATCGTGAAAAATAAACGCTTAAGAAGAGAAGCGTAAATATAGGGTATAAAGAAATAAAATTGTAAAATGTGCGGTAAACGATAGCGAAATAAATAAAAGCAATGCATAGAATTAATGATAAGGAAAAGAAACAAAAGTAATGCATAAAGAAAAAAACGTAAAATAAGTTAATTTAGTAATAAAGTGAACGTAGAAAAGAGTAAATTAGGCGCTTAGAAGTAAGCCATGTATAAGAAAAAGAACGCTTTAAGTATAAAAGCAATGCGCAAAATACAATAAAATTTAAAATTGAACGTAACTTTTTTAAGCAGGGGAAAAATAAATGCTCGAAGAGAGGCGAAAAAATAACGCGAGAGAAAAATAAAATATAAAGTAGATTGTGTTAATTAATTAAAAAAACAAATTTAGCTCGTAGAATTAATACATAAAAAAGTTAACGTGAAAAATAAACGCTTAAGAAGAGGAGAAGCGTAAATATAGGGCAAAAAGAAAAAAAAATTGTAAAATGTACGGTAAAGGATAGCGAAATAAATAAAAGTAATGCGTAAAATTAATGATAAGGAAAAGAAACAAAAGTATTACATGAAGAAAAAAAAACGTATATTATAATAAGGAGTAAATTTAGTATTAAATAAACATAGAAACAGGTAAATGTGGCGCATAAAAAAACGAAGAAATAAAAGCTGCGCATAAAAATGTCAGCCATGTACAAGAAGGAAAAACGCTTCGAGTAAAGTATAAAAGCTATGTCCAAAATACAATAAAATGTAAAATTAAACATAACTTTTTACGTGCAAGAAAAATAAATGCGTGAAGACAGGCGAGAAAATAACTCATAAAAAAAAGTAGATATTGTGTTAATTAAGTAAAAAAAAAATAATGCATAAAAATGTAAACGTGAAAAAAAAAAAACGCTTAAGAAGAGGAGACGCGTAAATATAGGGCGCAAAAAAAAAATAAAAACGTAAAATGTACGGTAAAGGATAGCGAAATAAATAAAAGCAATGCGTAAAATTAATTCTATGAAAAGGAAACAAAAATATTACATAAAGAAAAAAAACGTAAATTATATTAAGGAGTAAATTTAGTAATGAATAAACGTAGAAACGAGTAAATGTGGCGCATTAAAAAACGAAGAAATAAAAGCAGTGTTTAAAAATGTCAGCCGTGTACAAGAGGAAAAATCGCTTCTTGTAAAGTATAAAAGCTATGTCCAAAATACAATAAAATGTAAAATTAAACATAACTTTTTATGCGCAAGAAAAATAAATACGTGAAGACAGGCGAAAAAATAACGCATAAAAAAAATAAAATATAAAGTAGATGTTGTGTTTATTAAGTAAAAAAAAAAAATATAGCGAGAAAAATAATGCATCAGAAAGTAATCGTGAAAGAAAAAAAAACGCTTATGAAGCAGAGAAGCGTAAATATAGGGCGGAAAGAAAATAAAAACGTAAAATGTACTGTAAAGGATAGCGATATAAATAAAAGCAATGCGTAAAATTAAATATATGAAAAGGAAACAAAAGTATTACATAAAGAAAAAAAAACGTAAATTATAATAAGGAGTAAATTCAGAATTAAATAAACGTAGAAACGAGTAAATGTGACGCATAAAAATGCCAGCTGTGTACAAAGAAAAAAAAAACGCTTCGAGTAAAGTATAAAAGCTATGCCCAAAATACAATAAAATGTAAAATTAAACATAAGTTTTTACGCGCAAGAAAAATAAATGCGTGAAGACAGGGGAAAAGATAACTCATAGAAAAAATAAAATATAAGGTAGATATTGTGTTAATTAAGTAAAAAAAAACAAATATAGAGGGCAAAATAATGCATAAAATAGTAAATATGAAAAAAAAAAAACGATTAAGAGCTGCAGAAAAAAAAATGCTTAAGAGGAGAAGCGTAAATATAGGGCGCAAGAAAAAATAAAAACGTAAAATGTACGGTAAAGGATAGCGATATAAATAAATTGAACACAGGCGAAAGATAAATAAATTAAAGACAGGCGAAAAGATAACTCATGGAAAAAATAAAATATAAGGTAGATATTGTGTTAATTAAGTAAAAAAAACAAATATAGAGGGCAAAATAATGCATAAAATAGTAAACATGAAAAAAAAAACGCTTAAGAGGAGAAGCGTAAATATAGGGCGCAAAAAAAAAATAATAAAACGTAAAATGTACGGTAAAGGATAGCGATATAAATAAAAGCAATGCATAAAATTAATTCTATGAAAAGGAAACAAAAATATTACATAAAGAAAAAAAAGGAAATTATAATAAGGATTAAATTTGTTATTAAATAAACGTAGAAACGAGTAAATGTGGCGCATAAAAATGTCAGCCGTGTACAAGAAGAAAAAACGCTTCGAG